GGGGGCGGGTGCCTCCTGCCGCTGCACGCACCCCCGGGAGATTCATGGGTGGCATATGTCCCCTGGATCTGTGTGGGGGGTGAGAGCAGGTTGCTGCTGTGAGCTGGAGCCAGTTCTTCCTAGAGGCTGCTGTGGGCTGGAGCCAGTTCTTCCTAGAGGCTGCGCTCAGGGCAGCTGGAGCCGGTTCTTCCTAGAGGCTGCGCTCAGGGTGGGTGGCAGCAGTGGGAGAGGGGTTATGGCAAATTTTGGGGTGGCTTTAGCCCCCCTGCACCCCCTGCTGGGAGGGAAAAGCCAGGCATAACCTCCAGCCCCAAGCGTGCAATAGCAGCCTGCCTACACCCTGCACACAGATCCAGGGAACATGTGCCCCCCATGCTTGGGTTGTGCACAGTGGTGAGAACTGCCCCCCCAGATGAGCCACCAGCTCTGTCCCACACCCTACATCACCCCACCCTGGCTGTGCAGCACCTGACCCAGCCCCACTCTCTCCCTCTACACAGGGGCCTTGTTCTCCCCCTGCCCTCCCTAACACTTTTCCTTCTCCCCCCCCCTCCCCATTCCTTCCCTGCCCAACAGACTTACCAGCCAAACACTGCTGCCGGGCTGCGTATCAACAATCAAATCGGTATTGGCCAATACAGCTGGTCAATAATCAGCCATTGGTATTGGCTCAAAAAATCTTGATCGGTATACCTCTAAATTATTTTCTATATTAAAACGTGCATTGAATGAAATGGGTAGACCTTTCTTACACTTCCAGAGGCTGTTTTTTAGATTAACCAGTATACTAATATTTGCCATATAAGAAATAAGGAACCTCATCTATGGGGTCCTGCAGGATGAGCAACCACTGCTGCTGTATTGGTGCTTAGCAGTTACTAAAATATTAAATTTGTCCTGTTGGAATTTTTTTAAAATCCTTGGAATAATCTCTCCACACAACTTTTAAACTGAGAGAGCAATTGGTAGGGGAGAGGAAATGGTGGATCTTATTTCACTGATTTTGATAGAAAATATTTGTTTAATTTAATTTATGTACTTCCTAAAATACCGGAGTGGGCCTCTAGCTGAATTCCTCTAGTAGAAAGTTGGGGGGGGGGGTTGTTCTTTTTGGGGTTTTAATAGCTATCATGTCCAAGTCTAAAACTGTTTGTCCAGATTCATGTGCAGAATTGGACTATAAAACCTTTTCTCTAAAGCAATATTTTCTTAGTGCACCATATTGAGCAGGGGTCTTTATGTCCACCTTTTCAAGGTCCATACAACCATTTAACTGCGCTGTGTAGGTTGAGACTGCCAGTGCTTAACTCAGATTATTAAACTATCCTGCTTCAACCTACTTGCCATTTAGCTACATCTTCTAAAAAGGTTATATCTTGTGTTCTGGCTACAGTGCTTTCTTTTTTTATTTCCTTCAAGCTTTATCATAATATGGCATGTTTCTCACTAGTAGGAGTGACCTCATGTGTGTAGAACTATTATTAGAGCCAGGCAAAACATTTTCTGAAGATTTAGTCACTGAAAAATACAGTTTTGGGCTACCTGAAACTCTGAAAATTTGGGTCAAATGCAGCAACATGGTTCTGGTAAAAATGAGGAGGGAATTGTTCAGACTTTTGCTCCCCATCCTAGTGACACTTTCATTTTTGTGAATTATCAAAATTATAAGAAAGCATTACAATGTGGGGGGAAAAAAACAAAACAACCCTGTTTTGTTTGTCTTGAATTTGTTTTATACAGTGCCTAGTACAATGGTGCTGGGGCCTTTAAGAGCAGTTCTGTTCAAGTGCTATGAAATAACCTTTTTCTTGCATCCAAAACATTTTTTCCTTTTTGCTTTCCCAGACTAACAGAAAATTGGTTCAATATTTGGTTCATCCAGAAAAATTTTTCTTTCATTTTAGTTCAGCAAGCAAACCAAAAATAACTTATTAGCACAGCTTGGGTCTTTCATGTTTTTCAAATAGCCTCACATGCGGATGACTTTTACATGGCATCCTGCAGAGCCTTACTGGATACACCCTTCCCATACTTGTATCACACGATAGACATTAGGTGGTTGAGCAAGTAGAGCAATCTCACTGAATTTTTGGAGTCTGGAGGCTAAATTACAGACATCTCTGTAACTATAATTACAGTCATTTTATCAGAAGCATCCTATTCTAGATGAAAGTAATTTTATCCATCTGAGATGTATGCTTTATTTTCTAGTGTACAACACCTTTTCCCCCAAAATCAGCCCTCCAAATTTTAAGCTTAAACTGGCTTAGCTGAGTTAATTGCCATGCATTCCAGGGACAAACTTGTCAGATGAGGAACTGATGCAGTTTGGATGAGCTATGCGTGTAAAGAGCTATCCTGTTACTTTTTTGTTTCAGTTGTTGATTTGGATCAATTACTGGCCATCTCAAATGTGGCATCTGCTTATAGCCTAAGAGTCAATATTATTAATGGGATAAGATTTTTACTTTTATAAGGCATGAGTCTAAATTTGGATCATTGTTAGGAATGGTCAGGTACACAGAATTAACACTAGTCAGTGGCTAAATTGAGACTGCAGCTTGTGGACTTGTAGTTCCAAGCCTACATATCTTCCTATAATGTGAAGCATTGTAATTGAAGCTGACCTTTTTTTTTTAAATTGATGTCCAGAAAAAGCAGTATCCAAAACAAAATAGTTTATGCAAACAGAATGTGATTTTTGTAATGAAAAGAAAATTTAGAAGTCAAGAATTAAGGGAGAAGAAAAGCCATTTTAAGCTTTTACTTTATATTTTTCAAAACATTTTTGACCACTTTTTCCTAGAAACCTTCCCAATTCGTTGTTGGAACTTGAAATTTACTTTGGCTCATCTTAATTTTATGGATTTTTTTTTAAAGTTGCATATTAAATAGGAGCTAAAATGCAATTGTCCTGCCATCTCGACTGTAGAAAGAGGTTGTTTTTATGCCATGTATGTAGTTTGCTTTTCTATTTTATGCACTAGAAATTACTAAAATAGTGGATAAAAATAACCATGTGAAGATTGTTGCTTTATGTAAACAGTATTAGGTTTTAGCATTAGCATTTTGCAGCATATGATTTATCCTGGCACATCTTAAGGGCAAAATTCCTATAGAGTCAAATATCCAAATTTTGTTCTCCTTAAATTTTGGAAATTGTTATACCACGAGCATTGTGTTAGAGAAATGGTTTCCAGGTATAGACGTAAGTATTTTTTTAAATGGCATTGATGATGTGGCTGGCTGCCACTTTGAGGCTGGGAGAGGGAGGAGAGAGAAGTTTGAGAGGTGGTGGAGCTGAAGGGCTTTACTTGCTGGAGACTTTAAACTTTGTGTCCATTGGGGAAGTGAAAGGGCTTCCCCTGCTGCGGACTTTAAACCCCAGGTTTAAACTTGGCCCTGGACCCCGGACAGGCCTCGGTCTCCAACCTGTGACTGTTCAAGCTGGGGCTGACGTTTGCCTGATTTTAAGTGCTGTGCGCGGGGCTGTGGCATCTGACTTTCTACTTGACAGTACAGGGAGAGCTTCAGATGATGATAATGGCAGACTTGGAATCTGATTCCCAATCCCAAAATCACATCTCCTGCCATGAACATGTGGCATGGCAGGAGGCAGAATTGCTGGGATTAGAGATCAGATCCTATTGCACCATTAAATAATGTGCCAGGAGCCTATTTCATCTAACTTACTGTCAGAATGAGATGTTGGTCATTATGTCTTGAGGCACCTAAAATATTAATTGTAAAAACATTGTGCAAGTATTATTATATGATTACTTCCTAAAATCTAATCTCAGAAATGAACTGTGAAGTTATTACTAACCTTTATTAATTGCCATGCGGCGGGGAGAGCTGTTTGCCCAGATTTTACCTACATTTCATGTCTTGTCATAAAGAAGTAAGGCTGGAAGGGTCCTTGAGATCTAGTCCAACTTTATTTGAAGCATTCACAAAAAAGAAAAGGCCTTATGACATGAGAAAATGGGATGCTGTAACTGGTCGCATTTTTTCTAGTTCTTTAGGGTAGAAAAAGTGTATCTATTTAGGATTTTAAAAAAGCTTTCAGGATATAAATATTTTCTACCGTAAATAGGAATACATACAGATGTTGATGCCTCCACTAATCCAGAAATGGAATATGTTGAAGGATGAGGATAAAGATCTCTTCCCTTTACTAGAGGTAAATGTTACAAAGTATTCATTTTTTTTTTTTATAATCTGTTTACTGTTTATTCTGTTTAACAAAACTGTATTATATATTGTTGCGGTATATCCTAAGGATGTTAGTTTTAACTATTTACCCAGAATAATGGAGTCAATAAAAAATACTTTCTTTTATGAAATGTTCACTTGGGGGGGGGGTGAAGGGAAAAGGGTAAAAATCTGTATTGCGGAGATGGGGGGATCATTTCTGGGCAATGCTTCATGCTGGCTGTAAAGAATATTTGTTTTTTTTGTGACCTAAAAATAATTTTTGGGACTGTTTTCTCCCCAGGTAAAGATTTCTAGGTTGGTTTTACTGATGTCTTCAAGGACTCTTTAAATTCAGGGTTTTTTTTGTGCATGTTGTCCCACCCCCTCCCCCCTTTCCATTTTTTTAGTGAACTTTTACTCAAATAACTTCTATTTGTGTAAAGCTTTGTGGAGAGATCCCTATAAGCCAGTGCTTCCCAAACTTTTTTCCTCAGAGTGTCTCCATTTCCTCAGCATGGCCCCTTACTCCTAACCCACTGGACCCAGGGCCAGGGTCCACAACCCAGCCTCCCCTCCCTCCCAGCAGTGCCCGAGCCCCAGCTGCCATCCATGGAAGGCAGCAACTGCTGCGGCCAGGGTGGATTGTGGAGCCTGGCTTCTTCCCTGCCCCGTCTGCACCCCTGTAGGCAGTACTACTGGAGCTGAGCCCATGGTGGGGGAAAGGATGCAGGCTGCCTACTACAGGCTTGGGGCTTGCTGTCCTGCTGTCCTCCCCCTGGGGGCTCCATGGCCCAGTGGGCAGGACCTGGCGCAGGAGGAAGGAGTGCTGCACTGCCATGGCTGCCAAACTGAAGCGCCCCCTACTCGCCCAGCAGCAGCGTGGGCTCAACTCCATGCCACCACCGCCACTGCTGTGCCTCACCTTGGCAGTCATGGTGGTGCAGCAGTCCCACTCACTGGGCTGCAGGGGTGGCTCCTGCCTGGAGCTGATCTGGACCGGCTGCAGTCCTGTGCCCCACTGTGGGTGCAGAAATCTCAGGGAGTACATTTTATCATGACCCCATCTGCTGATGTTGTGTCCCCATTTGGAGTCATGACTCGGTTTAGGAACCACGGATACGAG